CCGGTGCGATGCTCTACCAACTGAGCTATGAAGCCACACATTGGGAGCGAGGTCAATTAGTTGAGTTCATATCTTCCCGTGAGGAGTGAAATGAATTTACTTACTTACCTCATGCAACAGAAACCGGAATAAGCTCCGGCCTGATGGGCCACTTGGCTAGTATGCAGGGTTTACCTTTCCTAATTTTACAAAACCCTTGTCTCTAGAAGCACCAATAACAAAGATGCGCTGACTGGGAGGTTGAATGCGCTGTGTAATTTTCAGGGTTTTAAGAGTATTTGCCACTTCACAGGAGAGAATTTCCCTGAGAATTTCCAAAACTAACCTTCCCCTCCATCCCCTAGAAATGTCCCTACTCTAAAATCAGCGGTCCCTTCCAACTGAAAGTAATCAATAATATCTGATAGAGATTGTCGGAGAAGCATGTTTCTGTGACTCGGTTACAATACCTTCCGTGAAGTTGGACTTTCTGACTCATGGCCTCAGTGCGTTTGTCTAGAGTTGCGTAAGAGTGGTGCACAGATGTATTGATTTCCGACTGAAGAAAAGAAAGACAGAACGGGAGTTACATTAATTAAATCAAACTATGTCAAACGAGAAGGGGAACCACCTAGATCGCTCGTTGCAGGTGCAAAGGTCGCCCTGTAATTAGTTCCCAGATGAGAACAGTGGACCGACTTTTGAAGTTCTTTACAAATCCGATGTTATTTCAAAACCTAAGTAACAAACGTAAGACAAAAGCTTACCTAGCATAGATCGTACTTAGCATACATTTGTAGGATTTTATTTGTCCGTTCACTGCTTAAATTAAGTTTCGATTGAGAAGAAATATCAATGACTCAAGACAGTGCTCGACACATTTTTAAACACCTGAAGTTTACCAAAAATACTCCGCTGCGCGTCGTATTTTCATCTCTCTTCTCGGTGTTTGGAAATGTGGTCAAACACGGTCTCTCCGTGTTTCATATATTCCTGCAAACAATGTGTGCCGTGAAGCTCTTGTGACATGAAAGCGCATTGGTAAAGGTTTATACAGGACTGCTGGAAATATCCCCCAGACAATTCTCCCCAGACTGCTAGTTCTGTAAAGGAAATTTAGATCCTTGAAGTTACAATTTTTGATGGCTCTGGGATTTGAAAGCTTGATCTCTGCTGCAATAGATCACCGTCGCTCTGAAAAACACATGGTGTGGTTGATTAGCTGGTTATGGTGAGTTTGATTGACATTACTCCGGAATAAGAATATATTGATGAACATTTTAGAATTTCATTTTCGTCTATTGGTAATTTACATGAGCATTCCGCTAGTGTCAATTCTTGCGTGTTTTCTAGTTACGTTACGTTACGTTACGTGCTCGCAAATGGCAAGGAGAAGAAACACCTCTTTCGTACTCTTTCAGAATCCGGGAATACGTGATTTTTTTCGTGACCCGTTTTCTTCACGATGCGACCTACAGTGACGGCATCACTGCGGATTATTTCGTTCTGCTTTGAGAATTGGAATTGTGACTCATTCTAACGGACATACGTGGTTATTCCAGTTATTTTACAGTAAGGTCAATCGAATGCACCCTGACTTAGAGCAACAGTGCCGGAAATACTGACTGAAATGTTCTTTCTGTATCATCTCTTCTAACTCATTTCGCCATAAATCGCAGCACAAAATCCGGAATATTGCATGTTACTTAACAATTAGATTATGAGCTCGAGGTTTCTGTGAGGTGATAGTTGATGAGGCCGAAGGCCAAATCATAGAAATCGAGAGCAAACAATCTAATTTTTTTTAGTAGAATTCCTATTTAATTTTCGTCAGCTAACTTTGAGAAACTCTGAATGACTTTCTTTGAGACTTCTCAGGCACTGTATCTACTGAACGGTGCCTCTGAAACTTCGGAAAAACGAGAAAACGTCGCTATTTCGCACACTGCACACAAATGGCTGGTAGTATATGAGTAGTTCAGGCAATCAGACTGTAGCATTGGCATTTGTATACTATTAGAATTCCTCTAATAATAATTGCATATAAACCTGTCTTACTTGTTTGTTAAGTGCCGCATGGATTTCCTTCAGTGCCATTTTCCATCCCGTAATTTCTTCATTACTAACCAACTGTTCAGCTACTAATGACACAAGCTACAAAAAAAGTGGGTTAAGGACTTAGTGGATTAACTCAATGATACAATATCATTCATAATCTACAATCTTATGGGACTGTGTGACGGACGCGGGCACACCTTGTAAACATTGACCAACGTTGACCATAGTTATCCTTCTAAATCTTCCTCAGTGGTAACTTTCCTTGCTTATTTCTGATTAATTGCTACTTCTTTGGTGTTCCCTATCTTAGGAAACTAATATGTTGCTATTTTACAAGTGAATATATGCGAAATAACAGTATATTTGAACTGCGGAGAAAGATACGAAGGCATGACTGATCATCGCAGTTATACACACAACTTAAGCAGTCGTGAAATATAAGCCTGAAAAAAATTCAGGCCTGAATTTTTCTCTCTGCAGTTCAAAACTAGCCCGGCATGTTGTCGAAGCGCACCAAAAGAAGGTAGGAGTTCTTATTTACCGTACCCCACATCTGCCAAGAGACCATGATATCGTAGCCATATCAGGTCAGTGACTTGATATCACGGATATCAGGACAGTAGACACGGCTTCTGATTGGCTAAGTACGAATATAAAGTGGAGATCGACATTGCGTGACTTTCCATTCTTCCCGCGGCCATTCGTTTGCCATTTGTAATTCGTGTTTCACGCTCAACTATTTAAGAAGACGCTGGGCTTTTCTCGCAGTTCCATGTAAGAAGTTCGGTGTCCAGACTAACAGGATATTTGCTTCTCAAATCCCGAAGCCGCTTAGGGTGCAGTAAGTGCAGTCACTTTTTATTTTTAAATCACAAGACTACCAGTATTGCTTTTTAGACGTAAAAGAACTGTTGTGACATGTTGTAAATTGGATTAAGAGCCAAATATGTGGCTCGTAATGAAACAGGTAATGGAAGACCACAACTTCTCGGCCTGTGAGCGTTGTCAGTTGTCGACAAGACAATGAAGAAAAAGTCCATCAAATTCCCAGATTGTCAATATACTATAGAAGTAGGCTTCGAGCGCATCAACAACCAACCAGACACTGACCTCATCATCACCACGTTTGTTTTCCAGTTGACGCCTGTATAAAGACATGTCCTGTCTGAGATGAGCCACTTTCTCGTCAAGCCCTGACATTCCTTCCAAAAATCAACAAAACAGACAAATTATTGAACAGTTTGAGAACATAGCTTTTCAAATTTTGCTGAGCAAATAAAGAACCTTTCCGAATGAGGTGATCGACAATGGAGAAATAGATCGTTCATTCACGAAATAAGTGCTGACTTGATGCAACAAAAAGCAGGCTTTAGTTTGGCGACTGACCTATTATATCTATTTAATTTCATAATTAAAGGCACTAGGACGCGGTAGATTTTTTCGCAAAGTAAAAGCAAGTGATAACAGGAAAGAAAGAATAAAAGTATAGACATTTATGATGTTACGTTTCTTCCTCCTCTACGTCACGGTCCATTTTACAGAGCGCTTTTTTAAGACACTCTCGACAACTTTTATAAGAACACTTGGAGTTGTCCAATCAAACCACAGCAGAACTGTAGCACGTTACCTAGCAACCTTCTGACGTAATTATTGGCTCGGTCATTGCTTCCTTAACTAACAATATCAAGGAACACTCTAAGTAAGCCAGACTTAACAAAGATTTCCTTTTATTAACGAACAACGTTTGCTTGACAACAAATCTCTCTTGTAACAAGAATGTTAACTGTATCCTCAAGAGTCCAATGAGCTTACGTACCTTTGGACATGTTCTTGAGTTTTTCCTTTTGTTCTTCCAACTTAAAGAAAAAAATACGTTAGTTAGCATGTTGTTTTCGTAACCCTTAAAAGAAGATGCGTTTACATAAATAAATTTTTAAAAAACGCTCCTTTCCAGGGGTGGGAAAACTGTAGATAAGAATGTCATATATCAGTAAAAACCCACGTACAAGAACCTAGGTTTTTTCAAGTTAACCTCCGTAGGTTCTTATACCAATAGTGTTTACTGTGAAATTAAAGTAAACTGTATTATATTTAAAAAACTCTAGATTTTGAAAGTAAGAACTTGTATGGAGATTTTAGCCTTGAATGGTTCTTATGTGAAGGGTGCTTAACTGGGAAATTTTAGCCTGACAGGTTCTTAAATTTCTTATACGCGGGTTTCGTTATATCTCACCTGTTCTGAAAGTGAATCCACGTTAGAATTAAGTTTTCCTAAAGAATCTTGCTTCCCTGTCTTTCTATCTTGGGTGTCTACAATGAAACCACGTCAAAGTCGTCAAAAAGACAAAGAATGACCTGTATACTTTGAATCTTTCCGGACGAATCTGTCACTCAAGGCCCTGCTGTTTTGCGCCACCCTGTGAAGATGACTCCCCCCCCCCCNGTTATTGGCATTGTTACCTCTTACTAACCGGAGAGGAAAAAAACGAGGATCCGCAACTTACAGTACGGAAGTTATAGCAAGGTATTCATGATATCTTTACAGACTTGTGCTAAAAGTGAAATTTAAGTAACCAAACTAGTTTCTCATTCTTTGTGAACAATGTTAATGCGATAGAAAAGAAGAAAAGGAGAAGGGCCGTGGATCGGCCGGGGAGCCTTCAAACTTAACGACAGTTTACTGACGCAATAATTAATCTATCTGGAACAGTAAAAGGGAAATATAAGGGAAATGTGAAGGTGTACTGCACATGCGTAACAGGAGTTTTTTTGTCCAAACATTTAACGTGCAGAATTACTATCCGTAAGAAAGTTGTGAAGTCTGTATAAATTACGCGGTCTGCGTCAAAGTTTTATTTTATGTAGTGGAACAGGTACGGTGTATTACAAAGGTTAGTTTCAAGGAAATATATTTGGGATTTGGCCAAGAACTAAAGAGAGGAGGTACAGAGGCGAGAGACGGATGGCTACACACAATTTTCGGCGCGCTGACACTGACAGTAATCAAGTTTTACACCGGTAGCTGCATTTGTATCATGAAGTCCCGATATTATTGTCAGTAAAATACTGCAAATAAAACCCCTCTTAACCGGCCACCTCTATTAATTAAGTCGTCTTGATCGTCCTGATCAGGTTTTTCCTATTGTCTTTACCCCTATTAAGCGGCCACCCAAAATTTAATACACGTAGTTTAACCTTGTTTTGGAAAAGGCGATGACAGACTTAATAGGGTTCGAACACATTTAAAGAGCCCAGTATCCTGCAAACAAGTTGCAAGCTGAATATGAAACACTTGAAACTTTCAGAGTACAACTCGATCAATGAGCATTAAAACCAAACCAAAACAAAACAAACAAAAACAAGAAGGCAAAGGGAGTTGCATTGTAAGTAATCCTGTTTTATGTATTTCGCCTGTTTGCCTCATTAGCTGAATTTTAATGTATCAAAAGTCGCCTGTCGCTATTTAAAGTTTTTCTTGTTACCTCTGGAGGCTGTTGGGTTGGACACTTGACTCATCAAATCGTCGTAAAGCTCGATAATTTTACGATCAAGGCTTGCAAACTGAAAATCACCAACAAAGAATAACCCTAAATAATAAATATTAATAAATGCTTCATTTCATGGGTAACCTGCAAACACAGATGAGTTTTCACTATGAAAATTGAAGACAGTTAATCATTTTCATTTCTAAACAAGTACTTTTTATCATGTTAGTACTCCAAGTTAAGGTAAACCAAATATCGTAAGTATTAGTATAAGCCAGTCTCACTCTAATAACGCATAGGTAAGCTTATTTCCAGCATTAGAACAACATTGAACAGGATAAAAGCAACATTGGACTGACTGGCAATACTACCAGTAATAAGAAGTGGAGTTACATCAAATATCATTGAACCAATAGTGGGAATCAGAAGCTATTCTGTTAGGGAAAACCTCAAATATCTCACAAGCATGCCTGTATTTCAAGGGCTCCTAAAACGTCATTTATTTTTTTATTTTTTATTTTNGAAGAGATGCATTAATGACTCTGGGCCTTCTTGACAGAAGGTGCAATTATCATTTGCCTTAAGCCCAATTTTATATAGAAAGTCATTAGTTGCTAGAAGTCTGTGTAAAAATTTAAACTGGAATTCGATCAGTTTGGTACTCCTGGTGCATCGTGATGTATGCTGAGGTATGCTTATAACAGATTGTTGCTCTTTTCTTGTTTTGTGTTCAGCCAAATTTAATTAAGACTACAAGCTACTTTTGAATTTTCAGTAACCAGTTAGAGAGGAGGTGTGACATACATGGAAATGCAACTTAGCTGCTTTCAGTGAAGTTGCCAGTTTGTTAATCCAAAAATAATTTATAATAACCATCTTTCCATAACATCAGAGGTTTCATTTTTTCCATGGCTTTCCCTATTATAGGCAATGAACAGTCTCGGATGTCACGAGGAAACCTTCAAAAAGATTAGAATTGAAATGATTTACGGGAAATACCTTGTCATCAATTCTCTTGGTCAGCTTCCGTTCGAGCACGTCCAAATCCTCTGTGTGTTGTCGATGACTCACTTTGTCTGTTGTACTGAAATGGAAATGGATCAAATTTAGACATATTTTTTCACGGCGAAATTTTAGTATTCATTTTTTTAACAACAACAACAACAATAATCTTTATTTTCTTTCATTTTAAAATTACATGTTATTTGGCCCATGGATCATGACAGCAATTGCTAATCTAGGCGGGCCATTAATCGCTTATGCATATAACTAAGTAATCAAAAGGCAAATTCTCGTTGCTCGGCATCAATACACCAACAGCTCTGAAAAGTTCCTTTTTTCTGCAGCAATAGAAACGCTGATGGTGATTACTTGAGACGGAGCTGTCTGTGAACCAGTGTAACGACAAATGACAAAGAAAACGAAGAACGACAAACCTAGCAGTATAGGAGTTTATCTTGACAGGTTCTACGAGAATCGATCAGAATGCACACAATTAAAGCATTGGTTGGAATTCGTAGCTGGATATTGCACCGTTGCGTGAAACAAGAGCAGAAAAAACCGGATGTTCTCGCAGGCTATGAGATTGTAGGCTTACCTTTCTTTTGCAAACTTTCTAATTAGTGAAGGTTGATTAGCCATGCGGTCTGACATTTCGTCAATGATATCTCCCCATTCCGACACTGGAGGAATAACAAAAGAAAAACACACCTGATCAAAACAAAATACTATACAGCGAGAAACAGAACTAAAGGAATAAAAACTGAGCATTAAACAGTTCCAAACACCATGGAGCTACTATTTTAAGTCAGACTTTCCTGTAAGATTACAAAAGCCCCGCAATTACTGTGAAACTCAGAAAACCAGAAATACCAGAAATACTTAAAGAGACATTGTCACTATTTTTAGCACGATTTTGGAAATCCCCAAAACATACATCGATCATTGGAAGCTGAACAATAATGGTTTTAATTTGTAGAGCAGTACTCGACAAATGATTAAACCCATTAGGAAGTGAGGATGGCTAACGATGGCGAGGATGGAAACGGATTGCGATGTGGATTTTTGAAAAAGCGTCAGGATGTCGGTTTTTCAAAGGTTCAAGTTGGCTCCAAAATCGTTAAAATTTTGCAAAACTGGGCTGCAGTGTGGACTTTCTTTAAGAAATTACTTTTAATTATGTAGTTAGAGCTAAGTAAGTTCTTACTACATAAATGTAGGGACCATTTCGTGAATTTAGAACAGTTTAAAGCAAATTTTACGGCAGGGAAAAAGCCAATTAGGCGTGAGAAAACTAAACCGCAAACAGCATTAGTTTGTGGTTTTGAGGTTTGCTCGCATGTCCTGAACTTTATTGTGATTGGTCAATACACAATTGACCTGTCAGAATCAAAGCAAAGTGTTCCCGGTTTTCTGAATTTCACAGCAAAGCGTTTTCAACTGACCTTGATTTTCCAGTAACTGAATCTTTGTGTTTAGTGTGCCAACTGCAAGCAAGAAAGAAAATCAAATAAAACATGTAAATTGAACCAAATGAATTGACCAAAATATTCTTTTTTAACTCTGGCTAAACACGGTGTACCATGCCGTTCTGTAAGTAATAAAAACAACACAAAGTAATCATGATTGTAACGACTTTATTTTACGCGGCAGTGGATTTTAACTAGTACTGCTTAGCTCATTGTGGACTAAACCGAAATAATAAAATCAACTATTGCAAATTAAATATAAACTTTTTAAGAACCTTAAGTGTTTGGAGGCCGACCATTTGGCTATTTATAAAAACACAGGCAAAGGAGCTGAACCCAGGACCACCAAGAACAAATCCAGCCAGTGGTAGGGCGGAGGACCTTCACATTTCAAATCAGCATCCTAAGTTTACAACTCGACCTTGCTACCTTCTGTCACTCAACTCTTGAAAATGAAATGGTACCTGGAGTAAAACGACCTGGACAATGCCTTAGAGACTTGACAATTAATAACAATGGAACCCAAGAAAGATGCCCAGGTAGCTGCCTCTGGAATCTTGATTGGAGAGTTAGGTTTGTGACATTACAGTTGAAAGTGGACACAGAAAACTTTAAGACAGAAGCTCCTCATTAGAATGGTTGTTAATTATTACATCACGTACAAGTCAAATGGCATGCAAAATAAGCAATAATCTGTAAAAATTTCCACCAAAATGGACCCTTCAAAATATCAAAATATTCCTCCACCTTTCAATGACACATAAACTCTGAAATTCAAACCTAACAAAAGATTGCCTTTTTGGCTGCAATCAATCATAATTACGATGACAACCAACAAGTCTTGAAATAAGGAAAGAAACAAAATGAATTAAAACCCACAAATATAAAGTTTTGAACCTGTTCATTGATTGATGATTGACGGCAGCAAAGCACAAAACTATTGATTGTGAAGAATTTGTGCCTTATTGAAAGAAAGGCCCAGTAATAATTATAGTAACAGAAATGCTTATTTTGCATGCCATTCCATTTGCACTTGGCATAATAATAAGGAGTCTTTCTAAGTCTAACTTACAAATTTATCAAGATACCACAATCACCTTGGTGTCCTTCAAAGTCTGGAGCATTTAAGAGCATGTTCCCAATTAAGCATCTGTTAGCTAAATCACTTAATGTTATTAAACATGTAAAATTTCAAGGAACCTTTACCCGAATAACTGGCACTTGGAGATAAACTGTACTTGTGCATTTCTGTACCCATATTTGGCTTAATTGACGGTGTATGTAGTGTGTATGGTTGGCTGGATGGGGACATGGCTTTACCTGCAACAAAAACAATTCAGATACCCTCATTTTAATTCAGGTAGCCTGCAAAGATACCTTTTGCTAAGGAATAAGGTCATGACTCAGGCAGGGAACTCCTCTATGAAAAGGTCAGGGATGCTCATCAGAAAACCCTAAAGGAGACCAATATGGGTGAGGCTCGAGCTTTATTTCAGCCCTAAAAAATACCACTTTAAACGGAATAGGCTTGATTAGAAAAAGAGCTGTTCAGAAAAAGAGCCCCTGCCGGTAGCCCATACCCAAGAGACCGGCGGAAATTGGGCTTAAAAACAAAAATAAGAGCCTTTTTGTTACACCCTAAAAGATACTTTGACAGCTAAAAACAGTGGCATTTCATCATATCACCCTTAGTGACACCTGAATCCTTGATTTATACCGTCCCATAATTGAGAAGGTGAACATCCCCGAGCCTTTTCATATGGGAGTACCCCCTGGCGGTCAGGAGACTAGTGGAGCAAGCTAAGTTTTCACTGGTTTCCTTTGCCTTGATAGCTACCTTCCCCACAGGCTGTGGCAGAGAAATCAGTTGGTCATTTAAAAACAATATTACACAATTGTACACTTTTTATCTATTTCTGGTACAAAACAATGATCAGGAATAAAATACATGTACACGGCAAATATACATGTAGAGGGTGAACTGTTGTTGGTGACTGACAATTTGACAACCTGAACAAATGCCATCCTCATGGTTATGGTAACTGACTCAGGATAACTTTCACTTGCAGGTTATTGAAAAGTCAATCACCAACAGCTGTCCAATTTCAGGACCATGCACCCTCACCTGGATGTTAACACCATATGAACCAGTGATGTAAACAAGGATCACCCTATACCTTAATAATAACTCTTGAATAAAACTGTAGTTCTTACAATACTTACTAGTTAATAGAATGCTCAATGATCTTTGTTTACGTCATTTACTCAGTGCCATTAACCAATCAAGACACATGATTCCTATTAATATTCACTCTGGAAATTAAACCATTTAGACAAACGAGATTGAATTTTTGGCCATGTAATATTTCCTTTCAGTGGGTGTACTATTGAATGTTAAAAATACACTGTAGCTGGCTGATGAGGTTGCTGTTACTAACCTTGACGATCTGCAGTGGAAACTGTTAGGTCGAGTTTGGGTGTCTGTTCAAATAAAGAAGTTCTTGTAGGAAAAAGTTGCCGTGGAGAAGAATAAGGCTTTGATGGTGTGCTTGTCAGACCATTTGATATAGAGACTGAAAAAAATTAAAGTAACAAGTTAAGATTAATTATTGAGACCTACCATGTGTTCATGTGTTTCTTGCCTTGTTTCAGAATGATATAGTGTTCCCTAGAGAAAACCTGGATAATTCCCTGGAAAATAATGTTTAAAATAATAATCATTACATTATACAAAACTTGGACTGAAATGTATACTGTTGATCAAGTAAAGACTAAATAAATGTTTATTTTTTGGTCTAATAATTCCGCAAATAACTGGGTAACAATATTGGATGATGAACCCTAACTGCATGCTAACCTGACAGCAAAAAACAAGTTAGCCTGCATACCATGTGTAGTGGGAGAGGCTGAGGGAGGGTTTTTTTGGCCTCTCTACCTTAAGTTCCCCATTTACGACTGCTACACACTTATTCCATTGAACTCCATTGCAGGTGTATTGTACATATTTTTTTCTGGACGAATGAAAATTACACCACGCATGTGAATTTTGAGAGTCACTTGCCCAAATGGCAAGTGCTGTCAGAATTTAGTTTCCACCACTGCTGTGAAAACCACTTTCCAATTCTGCTGAAAACATAAATGAAACCCCTGGATTACTCAGAGAATAAATTATTATTGTAATTCCAGGCGGTCCATATTTTCCACTGAATGTATCTACTAGCAGGGTTGTCAAAAGTAGCTGGCTGCTAGCAAAAAGCACCATTTACTTCTTCTTTAAACTCATCAACAATCAATGAGCTTGGGGAATGGTGCCTGAAAGGATGGTGGGGCCCGAGAACAAACTAAACCAAGTGTAGGGCATCCATGACAACCCTGCGAGCGGCAACCACCGAGGCACCATCACACTGAAAAACAGTGGAAACACGTACAGGATACTTACCATATACTCACCATGAAGACAAGGGGGATGGGTGCGCTGGGAAAAAAACTTAACGAGATCTGTCCAGCCGTGAAAAACACATGTAATGACTTGACATTTGAAGCTGAGCCACCCCATATATACATCACCCTGAGGGGGACTGCTGGTCAGCAATCTTGTTTTGCATTTAAAAGGTAGGTAAAGTATTTCTACTCCCCCCTGGATGGGATGCTAGTCCATCGCAGGGTTACCCCCAGCATTAAGTTCGCTGGTACCCATTTATACATGTGGGTGGAGAGAGGCACTGTGAGAGTAAAGCATCTTGCCCAAGAACACAACACAATGTTCCGGCCATGGCTTGAACTCAGACTGCTTGATCCAGAGATGAGTGTACTAACCATGAGACCACCATGCCTCCCAAATGTTTACCATTTAACTTACTAATAGCCTAAATTACATTTAGCCACATTGTTTTGCAGGTTTTTTTAATTTTTTTTTACAGGTACATTGTATAATACAAGAAGTTCAACAAAAAAATCGATATGGATGAAATTTACAAAACTTACACAGACTACAAAGAAACTACACTGCAATGGAAGAACTGCACTGCACTGCACTGCACTACAAGAATTACATAACTTATCAACTTATTTATTTCAAATGTTTACTTCATCTACTTAATGATCTTGACAGGCTACTCTGCTAGCTGGGTGTTAGTCTGATTCCTTAGAACAAGATGATTTTGTAAACAAGCCTGTACTAACTAAGAACAATCACTCACCTGTGGTTTTGTGATGGCTCAGATCAGACAGAGGAAACATTTCATTACCAACAGAAGACACACCACTACTGTTAATCAAAGTAGATCTTGTCGGCAACTCATGATACTCTGTACGACTTGACATAATTGACGAGGCTTCTGATTGGTTATCTGGGATATCATCCACCTGTACATCTTTCACTGGTTCTTCGTCTCCATTCATTGCGTGAATCTAAAGTGCAGCATGAAAAAAATCATTCCCAAGAGGTCTACCTTTACAGCGAGAGCATTTTTCCAAAATACATGTAATATTTATATTTTAAAGTTTGAAAGACTATAACCAGTCTTTTAAGAACTTCTTTTTATGGAAACAGTTAATAGTATTTTCAATAAGTTTTAAAAACTATAGGGAACATAAAAGCATTAGCCATTTAAGTGCACGAAAGTGACATGCAAATATTTGAGGTATACAATTACAGGGATCCAATTACAAAACTTGTACCAGTAATTGGTTACCTGCGCAGATTACGTGATAAATAGTTGTATGGAGAACCAATCATGATTGAAAATTTTGTTAGAGATACAACAAGCTGCTTCTTGTGGAGTTATTAAAATGGTTTGTTATACTGCTTTTTCTTCACTAGGCAAGACGAACATAGAATTACCTACATGTTCCCCTGATGAAAATCTTCCAAGGATCTTCACAATATATTCTATAAGATCTGCATCGAGGTCTTACTGATCATCCTAAAATCCATATCTTTCAGGATGTAAGGTACTTAGCCTTTGAAAAACTTTAAAGTTACATCTTCAAAAAATATATACTTACGTTTAAAAGGGGTGGTATTTTTGCCGAGTTTTTTCCATGAGAGTCCAAGACATTGCGGAGTTCTTTAATAGAGCCCTCATGTGACTAAACAACAAACACACCATCAACAAAAATAGGGATTACAATTTTTCATTTTTAGCTAGAATTACATCATGTAGTTTCAGGTGCATTGCTGTTAACCATTGAACAATATGGCTGGAGTATGTTACCATGAAGAAAGATCAGTATTTAATCGATCAAGAGTCACCAGCTTGTAATATTAGAATTAAATATGAATCACTTTGCATGCATGACTCCAATTTACAGCTTGCTGAAATATTGTAGCCTACATGTATGTATCTTGACTGCTATTTTCAAGACAAAGGAAGATAAAAATTAGACTGGCT